CAGAGCCGCCTTCCGACCCTCCCCGGGAACGGAGCCCCCACGCCGACAGCCACACCGCGCGGGCGCCGGCCATCGCCGCGGGGCTGCCCGGGCACAGCCCCTCCTGCCTGCTCCCCCTCACCTGCCAGCGCCTCGACCCTGCTCGTGCCCCCATCAGCCCTCATCCCTGTGTCCACTTCCCTGGACAGCCACCCCAGATCCTGCTGTTTCCCGACGTGGCCCTCCTCGCCCGGCCCACTGCAGCCTGGCCTCGCCCCTCCAGCTCCTCCCGGGCATGGTGCCCACTGTGTCACAGACAGGGGACTTCTAACCCGTGGTTGGCGCCCTGCGCCCAGGCTGGGCACCCGCAGAGCCCTCGGCCAGCTATCTGAGGTGCCTGCATCCCAAGGGCCCACCCTTCCGGACCCCCATCTGCCTCCCCGCTCTCAGACACCCCATCTGGGCTCCAACTTCCCCCTCCCAAACTGCCCCCACTGCTGCGGGAGAGCTGTCACCCCTTACCACCCCACCGCTCTCCCAGCTGGCATTCATTTTCACCCTGTGCCCCCCACCCCAGCACCCTTCCTGAGCCCTCCCAGGGTCTGCTCATCCCCTCAAGAAAGGCCAGAGAACCCTCCTGTCCTAGATGCTGGGGTCACTCAGGGAACAGAGTGGGCAGAATTCTCTGCCTTCCTCCTGCATCTGGGGACATCAGATCATAAAGTGAATTAAATGGCTGTGAGAAAGTAGCAAGTTCCCGGAGAAAAGCAAGGGAGAGCTGGGGGTGGGAGCACCGGGTGGAGAGAGGAGACTGGGGGACCAGCGGAGAGGAGCTGGGCTGGGGGCCCGGCAGAGGGGGTGGGGAAGCCGGGGTGGAGGAGGGCAGTGACATGGCTGTAAAGTAGTCAGGCTGCTGGGGGTTGGGAGACAAAGGTGGGCGCAGGGAGGCAAGCCAAAGACTCAGGAGGTCGTGCACTCGTGGGGAGGGACTGAGCGCCCGACCTGCTCTGGAGCCAGAGCAGGCAGAATCCGCGACAGTCGGCGCAGGCGTGTGAGAAGAGGGTCACTCAAGACAGCGCCCAGCTTCCCGGTGACACCCGCAAGGGCAGCCGCCCCTGGTGGGGGTGGGGAGACGGCAGGTGTGGGCAGGGGAGGGTGGGAGACCTTTTGGGGCGCAGTTTGCTGTTGTTCCTAGTGACCTCCACAGCTGTGCTGGGGTGTTGGCTGAGGCTGGAGTCCGGGCACAGCCTGGCTAAGCAGACCCTGGGCTCAGCAGCGCAGAGAGGGCTGGACGAGCTGCAAGGCGGTGAGGGCCGGCCCTGCCCAGCCCTGGGCCTCCCCACAGCGAGGCTGAGATTGGGCTCCAGCAGAGGGAGGGGCCCCTGAGGCAGGAGAGCCGCATGTGACCCGGTGCGCTGGCCCCGCCAGACGGGGTCGGCGACGGAGCCACTGGGCCTTTGTTCAGTGCCAGCCCAGCTCCCGCGCCCTGTCCAGCGCCCGGGGACCCCGGTGGCAGCCACAGGCCTGTCTGTGCCCTGACCCTGGTACGCCCCGGGCCCCGGAGCCCGTTCTCATTCTCTAGCTCCTTATTGTCACCAGACTATATGTTTTAATGAATCAGTTCAGGGCAAACAGCCTCACACGCAGGCCTGCTGGAGGCCCCCACACAGTAAGCTGGGGACAGTGAGTAACTACCCCGCCCTGAGGGCGCAGCGGGCAGCGAGGTTCGGGGCCTCCCGGGGCCAGGGAGCACACTGCGCCTGTTCTCAACCCCGAGCACAGCCCTGCTTAGCGCGAATCCCAGCGCGCTCCAAGGCAGAAGCTAAAACTAGGTCTGTGAGCTGTTGGCAACATCTTGGTTCTTCACTTTTTGAGTTTTTTTTTAATAATAAAAATAATACATATTCATACCTTTAAAAAGCAGGGAGAAAAAAAGGAAAGAAAGAATGGGAGAAAAGGGACAAGAGCGACCCTGAGTCGCGGATGGCCCTGGGACCGGCTCTGGGCCGGGGCACAGGCGCGTGCTGTCTCCTCACACCAGGATGCCGCCCTGCCGTGCGCTTCTTCCAACCCAGGGGCGCCCACCTGCTGGCGTTGGGGCGAGGACCGCTGCGTGCTGTTAGGGTGGGGCGCGGACGCTCCAGCCCGTCGGGCACAGGCACGAGCATTCTGGAAGACACAGCTCGGCACTCTGCACACCTGACCGGGCGTAGCCAGAGGACAGCGGCCCGGCAGAGCGGCTGTGGAAAGGCACGTAGTGGCCACAGCCGTCGGGGCTGGACAAGCCGTGCTCTGGTCCTGTCCGGCTGCTCCAGGGTGCCGGCCCGCCACCGGCCAGAGCGAGCCTCGCTCCGCGGCGGGTCAGGTGAGGAGCAGGGCTCACCTCTTCCCTGGCATTTTTTGTCATGACAGATGAGGTGTGGCCGCTTCGTTTGCTCGGCAATAAATCTCCTTTTTAGGCTCAAGGATGGGTAGTGTGGTTTTTGAGGGGAGGAGGGTCTTTAGCCTGGGCTGCAGAGAAAGGAATGACTTTTAGGGCCCTCTCCCTGACACCTGGGGGTTCCAGCAGATGGGTGGAAGTAAAAGCACGAGGGGCTGGGCTCGCGAGACCTGGGTCTGGCTGGGCTGCTCTCCTGAGCAACTGGGTCATCTCAGTGGCGTCATTTCTCTGCAGGCCTCAGTGGCAGGAGAAGACGGCCCTGGTCACCTGGTCCCCTGCCCCTGGGCCCCCCAAAACTTTAGGAAAGGTCTCGGAGTGGTTCTGGTCGTACAGACCCAGACTGAGAAACTCAGGTCCCAGCTCCGTAAGCCTGGCGTTCGGGCTCCTTCTCCATCCGCACCCAGCATCTACCTCCAAATTTAGATCCAAGCTAAAGCCCGCAGCACTCTGGACCCCTCCCGTGAGTCCACCCCTTCACGTGACCCCCGCCTCCTCAGCTCTCTTCACTGAGCCGCCGACATGCCCTGAGCGGGACCTGGAGCGGCTGACGTCAGGCCGGCAGGCCTGGGTTCAAGCCCCAGATCTGTCTCCTGGTTTTACCTTCCGCACCGATTTCACTGCGGGCGGGTGGTCTTCAGTGAGATGCGGTAACGCGGGTTTGCAGGGTCACCGAGAAGCTCACACCAGCCGGCAGAGACTCCCAGGGCTGCTCCCCTGCGCGAGGCCAGGCAGGCAGCGGCCGGCCCGGCTCCTCCGGGGGCGCCTGTTCGCCAGGTGACCTCACCACACCTGGCAGCGGGTGCGGCCCCACCCTGACGAAACAGCCTGTGGGAAGGGACATCCCCAGGCCTCGCCAGAGTGCGGCAGGCCTCAGCGCAGAGGTGGGAGTCGTCCACTCCGGGGAGACGGGTGTGGACGAGGGCGTGTCTCCTGCCTGCCTCCCGCTGCGACCTGGGCAGCTCCTACCGCCCAGCCTCAGCGTCCTCCAGTCGCCAAGGCGGCTTGGCGGTGAGGAGGTGTCTCCAACAGGCACACGGTTGGAGCTCAGCAGCTCCGAAACACCCCCGCTGTTTTTCTCACTGTAGTATAACCACTGAAGCGACAGAAACCACACACACACACACACACACACACACACACACACACACACACACACACCCCTACCTACATATATATACATATTTATTTTTTAAAAGCCTCGATCGCCCAGCACAAGGGAAACACAGGACAGAGAACCAACCCTGGCTGGGATCCCAGACGGCGCTGCCATTACGCTCCTTGTGGCAGAATTCAGGGTTCTCTGGATCACAGCGCGCCCCATGGGCCCTGTAAGCGATAGAGCAATCAGGGCCAAGCGGCCAGAGAAGGGGCAAGGCCCAGGGCGGCCAGGCGATGGCCAAGCTCGCTGCCAGTTCGGGACTGAGCCCCCTCTTGTTTCCGAGCCCCCGAGCCCTTCCAGGGTGGCTGTCAGAGCAGGCCAGCCTGTGGTCCAGGCAGAGTGCCGGGACCCACCACTGTGCCCAGACGGTGGCTGGCTGGGGCTCCCTGGTGACTTGCCTGCCTGGTGGCATCTGAGCTGCTGAGCTGAGATGCAGACTCAGCCTCGGCCTCTCTGTGCCTCCCCCCTCCAGTCTCTCTAAATGCCCTGGGGGTGTGGATAGGAGACGGCAGTCCTGCCAGGCTGCCCACTGGCCCCGGGCGCGGCTTCTGGGATCCCTGGCACTTTCACGCTCTCCCCTGCCTCCGAGTGGGGCTGGGGACACCAGGTTGCTGTCACCTCTCGCTGGTGCCTGGAGCCCAAATTCTGGCGGCCTCCCTAGTGATCGGTCACCTCAGCTGAGGCTGGCAGCGGGCACCCCGCTGCCAGCAAGGCCTGCCGAGGACCCCTGGGCTTCAGCCCCTGCAAGCCGCCCCTCTGTGACGAAGGCTACCTGGGCTGGCGCAGAGCCGTCCGCAGGAAACGCCCCAACGGGCCCAGCGGGCTGGCTCTGTGACCTTTGTATATTTCACTCCTGGGAGAAAAGATGGCGAGCAGAGAAGCGTCTTCTTTGTAAAATAATGTCATTTAACATGGTAGCGTCTGGTACATTTTCATAGGACAGAAACATTAGTGTCTCCTTCCAGGGAGGAAAGCACAAAGACACTTCCCTCATGCCCAGAGGTGACAGGTCATCCGCTGGTTTTTCTAGCTTCTCCCCTCCTGCCTCCCCACGTACTTCTCTGCCTGAAGTACGTCTGGTCTCACCTTTGCCTCTTTCTAAAGCGTGGCACGGTAGGCTCCAAGATCTGGAAGTTTGTGTTACTGCTGTTGGTGAATACTAGAAAAGGTGGGAGGGAACCTTCAAGAGGTTTCTGCAAGAAGCTTCCAGAGAGCAGAAGCTTGGAGACAGGCCCTGGAGTGGAGGCCCAGCCACAGGGCGGGGGAGGCCAGCAGCCTGGTCAGGACTGGAGCTGAGGAGGCGTTGGAGGTGCCTCAGGCCTCTTGGTGCATTTAACAGCAGCACCCCGGCACCACAAAGGGCCAGGGGCTGCCCTGGGGCCTCCTGGAGCCACCTAGGCTGAAATGTAGTCCAGGGGACTTGTCTGGCCAGAGGAGGCCCCGGTGCTGGGCGCTTGCTCCATCCCCACACTGCAGAGCAGAGGTGGCTGAAGATGAGCTTCTGGGGGCCGGGAGCTGGGGAATAGGCAGCGGAAACTCGTTGTGCAAACCTCCCTGTCACAAAGGAGATGAGATGCATCAGACGCCCCCATACGCCCCTTGGGCCTGCAGCATGATTTGCTCTTGATCTTCTCTCCATAGAGCGCAGGTTTCCCAAGCGCAGAGGCTCCTCCCCAGCCCCCGGGGTTAAGGCCCAGGTGTCCTGCAGCTCCGGCCAGCGGCCAGCCGCTTGGTCAGGACACCCGGCACCTTGGCAGAAATGGTGTAAACCCCACAGGGCGTGTGCCTTTGGGATGAGGACACAAGCCTGGGGCGAGGAGGGGAAAGTAGAGGAGAAGGCAGGAGGAGGGTGATAAAGGAGGATAAAGGTCCTGCTGCCAGGGGGCGTGGCCCAGAGCTGGCTGTGCAAAGGCCCTGGGGCCGGAGCCAGGCAGGGTCCCGCCTGGGTGCAGGGAGCGGACAGGACAGGAGGGTGGGCGAGCACGCTGGTGCCGAGCCAGTGAGGGGCCTGGCCAAGGCCTTGGACCCTCTCAGTGCTACTTGGTCTCTTTTTGGAAAAAAACGGGCAGAGGAAGGACTCATGCTTGGAGAAGGGAGAGGCTTTGCTGCCCACGCACAGGGCAATCGGGCCCGCGGCGATGGCCGGGAGGTGCCGGGTGGGCCGGGGCTGAGAGACAGGCAGGGAGGCGCAGGTGATTTCTGGCCTGGACCTGAAGGCCACGCTGCTGCTGTGACCAGAGACGGGACAGGGAGGGCAGGCAGGCCGGGGAGCCTGTGGGGGAGCCCACTCTGCTCATTAGCACTGATGTTTAGTCAGGGAGCAGCGGGGGTCCTGAGCTCTGAGCTGACTCCCCGGGGTGAGGCCTTTGAGAGGACAAGCCAGGGGCTGGGCCAGACTGCCCCGGTCAGAGCTTCCCGCGTCCGTTTGTGAGCGAACACAGGGCCGTCCCCGCAGGAACAGAGGCACACACGCAAGCGAAGGGCTCGGGAGCTCCCTGGCGCCTCCTAAGCTCCTCACAGACTCTGATACATAAGGTCGTAGCTCTGCAGGGCCAAAGTCCTGCCCATCTCTTCCTGTGGCCTCAGCAGCTCTTCAGTTTGAATCGAAGCAGACAGCCGAGTCCGGTCATTGAATTCACGGCCTTGCGGTCACCGGTAAGAAAGTAGAAAACTCTTTGCAAGTTCCCCTCTTTTATCATCATTACTTTGTTCAAAGATATTTACCGACCACTGATGGAACACGGGCTCTCTACCTGGGGCCAGAGAAGCGGCCGGGCGTCGCGTCCCGCGAGAAGTGCCCAGGCGGGACTTGCGCCCCTTCAGACGGCTCAGGCGCCTGCCCACAGAGGGGCGGATCAGAGCCGGAGCCTCAATCCACACAGGGGATGCTGCTCCGTCACAGAAGAGATGATCTCGCCATTGCCGCAGCAAGGATGGCCCTTGGAGGAATCACACTGAAATAAGAGAACAACACACCACGCGATTTCAAGCACCAATGGAATATTCAAGAATGCAAACCAACCCTTAGACCCTGCCACGACAGCTTCCTGAGGGGCAGAGGGGTGGGGACACAGAGTGGTGCTGGGGACTGGACTCTTGGTGGTGGGTGACGGGCAGTTACTGGGGTGAGAAACCCCAAACGGAGGCCCTTGAAACGGCGTCACCTCAGGTAAGGATGTGCCGTCAGCCTGGAGGAACTGCAGATCAGAGCACCCCCGGCCAGCGGAGGGACTCGGGTTTTGGTCAGAGAATGGAGGAAGGCAAGGGGCCGCAGGCGGGGGGGAGGCAGGTGGGCGCGTGGAGGGACGCGGGTGCCAGGCGGGTGGACCCAGGCTCTGGGGCCCCCACCCGCCGACCTCAGTGAGGAGGCGCCGAGGGGCTGCTCTGGCCCGTGCGGATCCCTGGCGGCGGCAGGAGAGGCTATGGCTGGAACGTGGGGGGCCCGGGGGCCAGCGGCCCCCGCCATGGGTGGGGCAGGTGAAGGCCGTCAGCTGGCAGTGGGAGAGGACAGCCAAGTAGGTGACCCTTGAAAAACACCCGGAGGTGGGCCCTCCCTGGTGGCGCAACGGGTTAGGACGCAGCACTGCAAGTTGGAACAGCCGCTTCCGTGAGAGTTCGATCCCCGCCTGCCCCCAGAGGTGACCCACAGGGCGCGGCAGCCCTCCCCTGACCCACCCGCTGCTCCCCTCAGCAGTGGACCTCGTCAGTTGCTCCCAGCTCTGTCTCTGGTGCATCCTCTCACCACCCCCGCACCTCTGGCCTGTACCCCAGCTCTGTATGCATGAATAAATAAATCTTAAAAACAAACAAAAAAACACGTGGAGGAGGGGAGTTCCAGGGAGACTTTTACTTTGGAATGAATTTCTAAGGAGAAAAAGGTAAAAATAAGTCATCGTGTTATGAATTAGTTACTGATCCTCTTGCACAGTCCAGACAACTTTTTCCCTACTTTTAACTTCTGCTTTTAGAGACCACCTTCTCCATTCGAGGTACTGTTTACCTTAACCACTTAACTTGGATCAATGCAGACAAGGGGGACAGAGGCAATGACACTGAAGTGGTATTCCGCCTTAAAATTCCTTTGGAAGTACGTGTGGGTCACCCAGTGCAACACAAATATCCATCAAACATGTACTAATTGTCCCAGGAGGAAATAATTGTTTCAGAAATTCCAGGTTCTTTAATTTATAAAGTCAATAGAGTCAGCCCTTTGAAAGCTCTTCTGTCCTAGTGTGATCAGGTAGGTCTGGTACCGAAGTCACTTTGTGCTTTAAATACTTCACAAGGGCACAGAACAAGAGAACATACCCTAAGAGCTTCTCGAAGCATTTGCGAGAGACTTAATACTGTGTGAATTTTCACTCAGCCCTCAAGAGCAGAGGCATTTGAAGTGGAAAAAAAGTCGCTGGCTACACACTCAAGATAAAAGTGCACACTTATAACAATCTGCAGCATATAATGACTCACAGGACCTTTACGGGGAATTCACTTGGGGAATTCTAGTCACGGTTTTCCTTAAGACACACATAGCGTCTCTCTCCTCTGTGCACTCTCCGTGCAAATACAGGGCACAATTAATGCTACTTCCCCCCCCAGGTGGCTTTGTGTACATAAGGGGGGAAATGCCAAAGTGGTAACACAGAAGTACAAGTGACTCCAGCCCCCTGCTGCTCGGGCCCTGGGGTCCCCTTCCTAGGGGTTCCAGAAGGTCTGAGAGGCAATGCCGAGCCTGTGGTGCCTGGAGAGGATGCTTCCCGGCATCGCTCGCCTCCGTCACCCCTCCCTTCCCGCGGGGATGGCTGAGCCCCTGCAGGGCGCTGGGCCTGGCTCTGGAAGACCCACCCTCTCCTTCTGGTCTGACCCAGGCCTCACACTGTCTAAAGAAAAGGACCCTTTTTTTTAAGGATTAAAAAAAAAGACTCTGAAACCTAACATAGCTATATTCAAAATGTATAAGACATTCCTGTAGATCAGTGAAATACTGAGCCAATGTGCTATGCTCCCTGGGAAAAACTCTCATTGTAAATTTACTGATCATAAAACACAGTTTTTAAAAACCTGAAGTTTTTTTTTTTTATAATACAATAGTTTATTTTTACATCATTTGGTGCCTTTTTCCATCTCAGTTGTAACCCCGTGGGCTGCGTTTCATGCTTTGAGGATCCAAATCTGCTACGAACCCGACCAGAAACACGAAGTCCCAGCGCTGTCAGGGCCGCGAGGTCTGCGGCCGGAGCTCAAACTAGCGCCAGCCGCTCTTTCCCAGGGGACGGCTGTGCCCGCCCCGGTATCTGGTTTCCCACCTGACAGTGGTTCCTGGATCTGAACCACGTGACCTCTCGGGCTTTACTCCCCTCGGTGGTCACCGCCACGGGGACACACATCTCACGGCAGCGGGAAGGGGTCTAATTGAAAAAATGTGCTAACAGAGAGCCCACCCAAGTCACCTCGGTGGCAACAGAGCGCGCTCGTCTCCTGAGGAGACCGAGGCCCGACCCTGCTCCCGGCCGGCAGCCCACGAACGGCCCCTGGGAACGGCGCCTGGCTGCCCACGCACGCCCAGGAGCTGGTCTCTTCCTCCTGCGCTCCCTGTGCTTCCGTGGCGCGTCCGGCGTGGCGCGTCCGGCGTGGCGCCTGGTCTCCTTGTGCCGGTCTCATGACTGTGCCCGTGCAGAAATAGCCAAGGCAAGATTCAGCCGAGGCAGGGCAGAGGCCCCCTCCCGGCGCCCAAACGGGGTGACTGCAGCGGAGAAGAGGCCCCAGCGCCTGGCCGCGGGGAGTCAGAGCGCCTGTCTGGGGCGTGTCGAGGCCCGCGGGTGGGCCCAGCCGGGCCTTCCTCACGGCCAAGGCGGGAGCCGTGGGGACGAGCAGCGGGTTCAGGCTCTGCGTGCCTTCAGCAGCACCAGCACAGCCACGCCGCACGGGGCTGGACCCCCCCGACGGCAGAGGGCTGCTCCCCCGCCTCCCTTGGGCCCAGAGGCCCTCTGGGGAAGCAACGGAGAAACAGCCCCAGTGGGACCCTGAACTCCCGGGGCGTCTCTCCCTCTTCACTGCCCTCTACCCTCCCTGGCCCGCAGAGGGCTGAGGGGCGGATGAAGGCCGGCGCAGTTTGCAAGCCTGGTGTGAGGCTGCAGTCGGACCCTGCTAAGTCCGTCAGGGTAGAGGCAGCTAAGTCGGGTGGGACGGGACCACACAGCGGCTTGCCCCAGACTGCGGGTGCGTCTGGGCAGGGCTCAGGTGTCCAGCTGTAAAACGGGCTCACAGGCCCAGTCGTGGCGACAGCGCGAGGACAAGCCGACCGTCACCCGTCAGCTTACCCCGCTGTCACTCCGACGGCGGCAGGTAACTGCACGCAACCAGGCCCCGGCCACCGCTTCGCAGCGGCAGGGGCACACCGCGGTGCCGGCCCAGGGGCAGCAAGAGGCACTGGTGATCCAGCGTGGCCCCAGCTCGGCAAATCCTGAGGGCTCGGTCTCCCGAACGGAGGTAGATGACCAGCAGCAGCATTTAGGGGCTGTTTCGTGTTAACACATCACGTCGTCACCCGTTAGACGATATGAGACCGTGAAGTAGAGACCCAAGGCCAGTTCTGACACTGTCCTCTCCCTGCCCACACAGTCCCGCCTCCATCACCCGTTCCCAGGACCCGGACTGCGCTCAGACAACAGCCTTGACCCCTGGGTGCTCGTGAAACGCCCCGCACTCCCCGCCAGCAAGCGCAGGCAGCGCCGGCCCATCTCATTGAGAAACTTCTCCCCGTTACAGGGCAGGGGAGGGGCACCCCTGAACCTCCAAACCTGCCTGGTCTAAAAGGCTCTGCCATCGCTGCATCAAGACAAAACATGCAAGACCTTTCATGGAAAGGAGCTTTAATGTGGCGGTGTGCCATACAGCAAACACAAAGAATCTGGTTTCTAAATCAAACCCCCAGTGACCCGTCCCCTCGCGGGTAAAGGTCCACCCAAAGGGCCTGGCCCAGAGCAGGGCCCGAAAGCTCACCACAGTCTAAAGCCACTTCCTCGGGCCAGGACTCATAGAAGAGGGTCAGAAATGGCTAGAGGAAAAAAGCAACATGAAAACCAAGATAAAAGCTGCCAGGTCACCTCCCCCGGGGCCCCCATGCTTGTGTCCCCCAGTCCAGGACCAAGAAGCAAGTCAAAGCTTCTTCACATGCTCCCTGCGCCCCTCAGGTCTCCTCCTGGCTCCATCCTGCTCCTTCCTCCTCAGTCTGTCCAGATTCTTTTCCTTGCCCAGCTCCACCCTCCTCTGGATGGGACAGGGACCCTGAAACCTCTCCTTTGCCTGGGACCCACTTACAACCTGAGACTCGAGACTGGAGCCTTTGCCGCAAGCCCCTTCCTCCCTGGGTTAGCCTGCATGGGGCTGTGGCGCCCGTCCTGTGGCCACGGGGAGCAGAGCGTGCAGAGCCGGGGCGTGGGGGTCGCAGGGGGCCCCTGCACCAAGTCGGGGACGACCCCCCAAATTCTCGCCAGAAAGCCTCCCATCTCACAGGGGCTCCCCCAGACACGCGCCACCTCAACTCCGCGTCACTTTCTTTTGAAGCTGTCCTGATAGACGCCGGTTCTCACACGGCAGTGTCAGGATCACTCGGAAGGGCCGCTGCACCTGGGAGGGCGGGGGCGGCCTGGGCCAGGTCCCCCCGTACTTCAGGCCCCGCTCAGGTCCCTTCACCAAACCCCCCATCAGGACCCAGCTGGGCCTGTTCACCGCCTGCCTGCGCAAGTACTCGATCAGCCTCACGGTCCTGCCGGAAACAGCTCGCCCATCCTCCCGTCCCAGAAGGCTGGCCTGCCTGGCTCTCACTCTCCGCGCGTGACCAGATGGCCCGCGGGGGCAGTGCGCTCGCTTGGGTGATGAGAATGCGACTACACAAGGCTGTCTGCCGCCTCTGCGGTCAGGAGCCATGGTTCGGCCCTGCCCGTTAGGCCAGGGTGGGGACTTTCCGTCTTTCCTCACAAGCTGGGCGCATAGGAGCCCATTAAAACAGCCACGTCTGGGCAATTGCTATCTTCACTTTTTAGAGCACTTTGTCAAATTCTCACCCCCACAGCCCTCCCCCATCCATCCGTGCACCCCGCACTTAAACTCGTCCGGGCCAGATCATTGACCACCCCCGCTGCCAAGCGCCATCGCTTGCCCGAACTATACCGTGGTCTCCTGGGGTCCTTGCAATGTCTCCGGAGTCTGCTCACCACAGAGCAAGGGATCCCTCTCCTGACAAAGGCTGGACCCCATCATTCTTTGGCTCAGAATTTCCAGTGCTTTCCTGTGGCACAGCAGGGTGACAGCCAGCACTTAGCTCGGCCTTGAAGGTGCTCCCCTCCCTTCTCCACAGCGCCCTGAAATGGCGCCACTCCATGAAGCCATCAAGCACACGCCTGCCTCAGGGCCTAGGCAGCCCCCTGCCTGGAGCGATCTCCCCCAGGGGGCTACATGGCTGGTTCCTCTGACCATTCTTCCTTCAAGCTGGCCTCTAGATGACACGTCACTGCGCCCGAGTAAAATGGCGCACGCGTCACTTGCCCCTTGCCCTGCCCCTTCGTCATGGCGCTACACGGCCAGTGATTCTCTGTCCACCATGTGCTGCCAGTGTCTTGTCCCAGTTGCCATGTTTCTGGGTCACTGCATCCCCCACTTCCACCTCCTGGCTTCGGGTGAGCCACGTGGTTCCACTCCGAGAGCATCAGAGTGTTCACACCTGCTTCCTTCTAGTACTTTACTATACGTGTACAGAAAAGATGACAAAGTCTAGATCTCTGACCCGGCTGGGATATACCCTGGGACATAAAGGCCAAGGAAGTGATCTAGTGTAAAAATCTAATCTACCTTTAAAAGAAATAAATCAAATTTCTGGAGACCGTTTATAGAACTTGTTTTAATTTTCACAAATGACATTTCTATTACAAAAATCCAAGGAAAGTCATTCCCTTTCCAGCCTACACTTTTAGGCATACTCGACACATACATGTGTTTACGCGCACATACATGTAATACAAATCCACTCGCCACAGCTCTCTGGGATGGCACATAAAAATAGGACATTACTGTCAGTTCACAATCTTTTCCTGGGAAATTTTCTATTTCACTTTTTCAACACTTTTTCACTTTTCTGGATCTTGAAGATTTTTTTTTCTTTTTGCTGTATTTTGCTTTAAAAAGCCTCTTCTCAATTAAGCTCACTTCTTCATGGAGAAAAGAGGCCTTTATTCTTAGCAGGAAGGAGAAGAGACTTAGTACGAACTGGTAACTCAGAGAGAAGTTGGACTCTTCATAGGTCGTCACATGTCTGCAATAGCTGGAAGGCAAAGACAAGGAAGATGTGAATCTGGGAATGACCGTTAGGAATGCGGCCCCGCCCCACGCGGGCAGCGGAGTCCGGCTTCACAGCAGCCGCGGGCCGGGGCGCGGAGCCCTGGGAGCCGTCGCCGGACAGGGGCAACATCTAGCGCTGCCGGCGGCCACTCCAGGCTCGGGGGCCCCAGGCCAGGCCTCACCACTCCTAGCTCACAGCGGCTTCCACTGGGGTGGGGGGAAGCTCCTGTCATGGCCCAGGCAAACACAGGCAGACGGGATTCTGGATATGTGTTCTTGAAAAGAATTCCCCCCCCCCCAAATCAGATACCAGACTCGATCATGTTGCTTGCAACCCCATGGGGATTATGGAAAGAAAAGCTGACAAGCAGCTTCACTGGGGGCAGCAGAACCTGCAGACGGTCACATCTCTAGCTCCCAGGCCCCAGCTATCCCAGGACAGATGTCTCCCAGGGGACAGGGGGGCAGGGCAGCGGCGTCCCTGCTGTCCCGGCAGGGGCCGGACTGGGGGTTTGCAGGACACAGGCAGACAAGCAAATGGTGGGGGGTG